ATGGTGGTGGTGAAAAAGACAGATCAATAGTTAAGATTTCAGAGCTTTGTTGTTATTCCAGTACCCAAGTCTTTTATAATGTGACGTCAACTCGAATCTCATCTGGCCCTATGGCTTTTTCTAGTTTTATTTTCTTATTTTCTTTCAGAAAGGGCATTACATATATATTCATTTCGTTATTATCGTTTTTTCTCATCTGTTATATCTTTCTACTTCTCCTGACTATCTGTTCAAAATATATCTCTTGTCCACTAAAAAGTATCGTCCTTTTAAAACGTATAGAGCCTGTGTTTGAGAATTCTTTCTCCCAACTTTCTCTTTTTTAAAAAAATTATGTGGGCATATAGTTGCTACTGATTCTTTTCTATTTCTTGACACTGATCATTTACCCATGTTTCTTTTGCTTCGATACATTTTTCTTTATTTGAGTAGACCTAAAATCATTTGTTTATTTCGTGCCTCCCTTCCAGACAATTTTCGGCGGGCACATCTCGGGCCGGCGTCTCCGTGGCGTGAAGATCAACCCCATCTATCAAGAGAACGACAATGGTCGCCATGGAGACGCCGGGGACAGCCAATCAGACAGCGGCATGCCGGTGGGCGAAATCCAGATCGAGGTTTACGAAAGTATCCCTCGGCACCGCAACGCCAGGAAGTACAGCTCGGACCCCAACCTCGTCCACTCTTCCCCACAACACCAGAATCATCGCCAGGGGCCTCCAGAAAATGGGGCTGGTCGAGACTCACCCCGGCACTGGCCGCCCAAAGGTGATGGGTACTACCTGTGCAGCGGTCACGAGACACCAACGGGGGAAGAAGATCCCGATGCGAAGCCACTGCACTTTTCAGACATCAGTCTCTCTCACCTCTATCCTCATAGTGACATCACCACGAAAGAGGATGACGTTATCGCGTCTGAAGACGACCCGGAAACGTGTTCGGGTAAAGATGATCAATCGAGACATCAAAAACAGCACCGATCTTGGCAACAAGCAGGGAGAAGTTTGAAGAAACAGCTTACGAGGCAGACAAGGATTGACGCAACCACCGAAGACCCGGACCTCATCGAGGTTCTTCCGGACGATGCTTCACCGTCGACGTCTGGGTATTCATCTCCCTCTGGGGGCGCCTCCTCTTCCTTCTCCTCATCACCCAACACAAACAACTCCAGGAAAGGTCGGCCGACGTCCGCTCGCAGAAAGCGACAGCTGAGTGCAGTTGAAGAACAACATGGAGGGGCTGAGACTGAGACTGTTGACAAGCAAGATTTTGGTTTTACCTCTGGGAGTCATAGCAGGGATACAGAAGACTCAAACCCCGCTGACGATAAGCAGGGATGTGAGCAGGGTAAGGTTAACGATCTGAAACAGATTAGATCCAGTGAAGAAAAGTTACATTTCGTTGCCTTATCTGGAGGAAAAGTAGGAAAATATGACGAACTGTTCCCAGATCAAGCCGAAAATTTTACATCTGAGAGTGAGCGTCCGGACGCGATAAGTGTCACGAACGAATCTAATCAGATTAGTATTTCGAGCAAAGATATCGCTACTCTGCCTCGTAGTAAAGCCCTTTACTCCCTCGACAAAATTGCCATGTTGCCTTCTTATAATGATCTTAACTGCAACCCTTCTGTATATTCAGTGGACTTTATCAACAACAACTTCGATACAGTGCCAGACAGAATGTTACCTCATAACAACAGCCCACTATCATCTGTTCTGCATTATAAAAGCCCCACAAATGGATTCTTACGTCACGAGCCATCACTGGAAAAGGAAGGCGTCTTAGTTTGTGATGAGAAAAGCATCAAAGCTATGTACACCATCTCCGGGACAGGCTCACTCGATTCGCAGCAAAGAACAGCTCATAAGTTGATGCCTTTTGCATGTGAGTGCGGCGGTAAACCAACTCTAAAATGCGCTTGTGGAAGAGACGCCTTAGAGAAGCTTCTTCGTCAAAAGAATCTTCTCAGGGACAACATAGACGACAATCAGGGCCCGGCTTGTCAATTATCGCCTTCTAAAATATCAAATAAATCTAGCGAGAATAGTAAAAACGGCACAATACAATCGATCAATGACCTGAACTTACGTAAGTCAGGAATTCATCTTTCAGATTCTAACAACAGTGCCTTTGATAACGCTGAATTTAAAAAAGCGAACGGAACACTTGATGAAAATGATGAAGAGGTGTATGGCTATGGAAACAATGGCCTTAATAGCACAATAAATGAAGAAGAAGATTTCCAAGGTGGCAGACATCCGAAAAACGATGATTCACTCCACCCACGAGAGCCTCCTCGCTCTATCTTAGTCGGTAACGCTCCACAGAAGCGCCACATTTCCAACATCGAATGCCGCATGGTCACTTTCTCTAAAGACACTATTTTCAACGAAGGAAAGCACACAAAATACATCAAAGAGTGTATCAGCCCCACTGATCTCCTCATCCGGGCCTCTGACTTCAGTGACCAGGACGACAGCACCTACGACAATCCTGTTTTTGATGAGGATGACGATGGAATTTACGGTGATGATGAACTAGGGGAAGACTATGACCTTGACGAGAACGGAGAGCCTTCGGTTTCCAAACCAAAGAGAAAGTTTTCATTCAAGCATCCAGTTTCCAGAAACAAGATTTCAGCTAACGACTCCGTGCTTCTGAAGGTACGACCCTGTTAATGTGTCACTCTGTAGCAAGAAATATCTATCTATGCTTATATTTTGTCCTTTCGACCAAGAGAGCCCAAGAAGGCGAATCATTTTATAAGCTCATTTTAATAGTATATATCCGTATCCCCCCCCCCCCATTGAATCAGAAGCAAAAAGCTGTTTAAGGAACTTTGATTTTAAAAGTCCCATCTTTAAGGCCGAAACAGTGCATAATGACATAATAAGATAAAAAGGATGCACGGTTATGTCAGGAGATTATCATATTAAATTTTACGATACTGAAAATAGAAATACACCAATAACTACCCGTTGGTGTTTTGGAGCCTCCTGCTACGCGTTTACGATTGATCATCCAGAGTTAATCGTAGGTCAAGCTGCTGCACGTACCTGGAACATTTTTTTCTACATTACAATAATCTGTAACATAGAGTATCTCTAAGTAACCTTCATTTTCTCCGTCTTTCCTTTCGTAAATGAATTCGGCTACTTCATTGACCCACATCATAATCGTAGCTCCAGACTCTGAATGATATTTTTATAGGGAAAAAAAGAGAATGAGAAAAACATTGTTATCATGGTCTTTTTAGGCGTGATTTCAATACTCTATGTCATATTGTTATACCCTATTCATAGGGAAATATGAGTACTGATATAAACCTTTTCCAAGACACAAAATAACGTTAACAAATTGAACAAAAACATGTCTACGGTGTGCAATGTCGTTGTATTAGTGAGCCCAAATAGAAATCCTTGACATGACACGTAAAAAAATGTACGAATAATGCATTCATTGTTGCTTCAGATGCCTATTTGACTCTATGGATCCATAAAAACGATCTTGACTCCTTCGATGTATCTTTTTTCTGAAAGCAAAGGTAGGCTACCCACTTATTGTGGGATACTGTGAGCTCAACAGATGAGCTTGAACTGGTCTAAATAAGTTGCGTTATACGATCCTCCCCTCTGTCACCTTTGCCAGTACTGTCCTCACTATCAACACGGCTAAATTCGTCCACTGGTATAGAGTATAGAATACTCAGGTGTGTGTTCCTGTATTATTGAATATTTCATAAACAGGTGACGGTCTCTTTTTTTTTCAGTCTATTAATCTTTACGTTGAGCGGCGCCATTATTTCGGTTTCCAGGCAACGCGTACACTTCTCCAATCGATGCCATGAATACAACAGAGAGACAAGGGGAGAGAATTGTATGTGTCGACAGTATTATCAGAGATAATTCATCTCTGTCTTCCTATGTTTTTCTCACTTTCTTATGTTGTCTGTTCATATCTCTCTCTCTCTCTCTCTCTCTCTCTCT